AAGATGAAATCCACCTAAGCAGGATTAATTGATTGTTTTCTCACTAACAGCGAGTAGCGAATTAAGTGACCTACTTTTTGATTGTACCATGAGCTCCCGGTTTTTCCTGGTGACTTGATTTTGTGTGTGTGTGTGTGTGTGTGTGTGTGTGTGTGTGTGTGTGTGTGCGTGCGCACGCACTTATTGGTGAAATGCCACACAACTACATCCTAATCACTACATTTCATCATGGGTAAATTTTCATGACGTTTGCACTGTAAACTGATCAACATGTAGATGCTTGATGAGCATTTTGAAGTTGGAAGGAAACGTAACAACGTATGGTATGGATTTACAACTTCTTTATTATTTACAACACGACATTTCTGGGCTGCTTCTTAGTAGCCCAGAAACGTCGTGTATTTATGATATTGAATATATGCTTGATTTTATGGAATATGGAAACTTTAAGGTTAATCCAAGTACATTGCATGTACGATTGCTTGTGCGATCTTTTAATCAGCATGACTATTTTCTCCAATTATCCATGGGGTAGTGGAAATAGAGGAAAGATGGGAGGTATCTGTTCAAGTGAGTGAGTGAGTGAGTTTAGTTTTCCGCCGCACTCTGTAATATTCCAGCTACATGGCGGCGGTGTGTAAATAATCGAGTCTGGACCAGACAACCCAGTGATTAACAGCATGAGCATCAATCTGCGCAATTGGGAACCGATGACATGTGTCAACCAAGCCAGCGAGCCTGACCACCCGATTCCGTTAGTCGCCTCTTACGACAAGCATTGGTTACTGAAGGTTCATACTAACCCGGACCTTCACGGGTCTATCTGTTCAAGGCGTTAATGCGTTGATACGTCCACGACCTCCAGATAACCTGCAGCGTTGCTTGAAATACTAAATCAATACATTTGAAAACATCCTTACCTGAAAGAATTGTATAATGCATGGATGCGAAACATCAGTTAACACCCAATTAATCAGGAGAGAGTAATAACATATTGCATAGCCTAAACAACTATCAAACCTCAATGTGAATGACAACATTTAAGTCTGTAACATCTGTAGCCCTTTTTTCCCACTTACATTTGTCTAAAGAAGTGACAATGGGTTGAAACGAACTGATTAAGCTGGTGATCTAATGGAAACCATCACCAGTTTTTAAGCCATGAAAACTTTTGAAAATTTACAAATTTACAATTGAAATGTTTCCCCACCTAAGGAAATATGCATATTTCGATCCCAAGTAAACTTAGAAAAGAGTCGGAAATTACATCACCTATTACGATCAAAAGGAATGAATTGGAAATACTGTGTATTTCAGAGGTATATGACGGGTGTGTATATTTGGTGGTAAGATACCATGACGCCTTTCTGATCAGTGTGTCATATCTTTAACAATGTATTAATGATTGCCGGTGTAAAAAGTCGTAATATTTCACATTGTAAACAGAAAAAATGGCACACCATAATGTCACTTGTAAACCTTCCATTAGGATGTCATATTATTATCCATCAGCTTTAAGGGTTTCACGGCATGTCAGTGCAGCTAGAGCGTGAAGTGACACAAACATAAACAATATTGACACTTATCAAAACATATCTCCTTCTGACATCAGCTGAATTGTTGTTTTTCATGCATGCAGTGCCAACCAACGGTATGTATGACCTTCAAGTGATATAGCTGAATTGTAAAAACATAATTTTGGTAAAATTACCTTAAATTTGTAAAATTGATAAAGTTGCAAATAAGTTAAGACTTTCGTTTCCGTGGATCTTCTTCAACTTCATAACTGTGCATGTAAAAGTCAATGTACAGGAAGGTGTCAAAGAGGTTGAACCTGTTGCGTACTTACGCATGTGGATGTGGACTAGAAACATGTTCCCGTGATCTTGACATTGTTGACATTGACTAACATGTCAACTAGGAATACACTATGACTATTAGGAACAATAGACACGAATTGATATGAAGGAAATATTGCTTGCGTTATGATGACATGACTAACTCATCATTCTTTGATGAGCAGAGAAAGATGTCTGGAATAATATCGTTGCCTATGTAAAGCATGGAGCTGTTACTGTTGAACAGACATTATATAATATTTTGCTGATCTAAATACAAAGTACCAAATTTTGTTTCCTTGTAATGTTTTTATCATGCATACAGTGCCAACCAAAGGTATATATGGTCTTCAAATGATATAGCTGAATTAGAAAAAACATAATTTTGGAAACAATTACCTTTAATTTGTAACGTTCAATTCATATTTTCTCATCAAATGCCCTTTCTATTAAAATTGACAATTGACCTTTGACCTTACCAACAATCTTTGCTGATGAGCATATATGTAATATTATTGTCCACAATTTTAAATCATGATCTGAGCATTCCAAAACTACTACTGTGATGAAAATCGGTCAATCCAAACCAGAGTTATTAAATTAAACCATCCAGTTATCGGTTAAAATATTGCCATAACTGACATGACATATTGCACCTCAAAAGGGCCCCTGCACGGTAGTCACGCACGGTAGTTGATGACAACCGGCTTTAAATCAAAGCTAAATCATTCCTGATTGTGAAAAATCACATCCCGTTTGGTCGCCAGAACTGCACCACATTTTCACAATTTTGGGGGTCTGGCTTCTAGACCATTATTAAATGCAGCTCTTTCGATGATGATTGGCTGCAGTTGAACCAAGGATCCTTTGTAGACTAAAATGGACAAAATTGGCTTTCGTGTTGTCATATGTATCTCCAACAGCAGTCCATGTGGACATATTGTCAACTTCAGGCGCTGATCCATCTTCTGATACTTTTGAGCGATTCTCAAGAATGGATGACTCTTTGGTTAAACACTATCTGACAGTAACCAGCATCCAGTGTTGTTTAACATCACACTTCATCTCGTCAGAAGAAGCCAGTTCCATCAGCTGGCAAGATGATGTCTTTGGCATTATGGGACTCAAAGCAAATCATTATGCAGACAACCCCCAACCCCCTCCCGAAAGGTTAGACAATAATGAAAACAATTACACTACTAACTACGTGAAGATGTGATCGCTCCCCATTATGGATAAACTCACTGAATGTGTGTTCTTCCAATAGGACAAAGCAATGATGTACAAGTTACTATGACTGGAAAGCATGACTTTGGCATTGTCCACTGAACATTCTCCACATTCACCAGATCTGATATTTGTCATAGTTTCACTTCTTGCAAACGTGACGAAGTGACAGTCCTACATGGTCTAAGCAAAGCAACAGAGCGGGGGCGGGGTTGGGGGTGTCATCAGAGAGACAGCGAACGCATGTGCATGAGTGTGGGTGCGTGTGTGCGCGCGTGCGTTAGAAAATGGCCTAGTCATGGTTTTTGAGCCAAGATGAAAGGTCGATCCAGAATATGTAGAAAGGGTTATAGAAAATGATAATTACGAAATTCCAACAAACCTGACTGTGCCCTTTCAAGTGAATATAATGAAATCGTTTAGATGGTTGAACTTTCTGTGTCTTTTCATACAAACACACTTCATCCACCTGTGTAGAGGAATATCCTCGGTTGTCACAGTATATACAGGTGAAGTAGCATATCCATTAGTCAGATGTCACTTTATCCACCTGTGTAGAGGAATATCCTCGGTTGTCATAGTATATACAGGTGAAATATGGTGTCCATGAGTCAGATGTCACTACATCCATGTATGTAGAACAATCTCCACGTTTAACTACATCTAAGGTGTGTAGTAGAATATCCACGAGACAGGTGTTACTTCATCTGCAAGTGACTATCCTTGACTCAGATCTACGAGTGTATAGTAGAGGTGGGATGGATCATATGGCCATACACATGACCTTGTGACGATAGTAACCTTGAGTATCTGACACGTTGCCATTGTTATATTGATGTTGCTCGGTGACCTCTAGTTCCGTCGGTTATTTATCAACAGTCTCCTTTTCTATCACGCCAACGTCAAGGGCAACACGCTCAAATGAGCTATGAAGCAACACACGTGTGACTTCATAAGTGGGTTTGATATGTCAGTAAATGTGTTTAAAAGCAGATGACCACGTTTACGCAGTTAATTTTGGCATCTGCAAATTGAAACATGCAAATTTATGTTTCAATTTCTGTAAAACATTCTCACATCCAGCGGTTGCACTGATGTCACTATTGAAGCAGTTTCGATGTGATATGTTTCTCGTCTACACCACGTAGATCAATTCAGCTGGTGGAAATGTATAAGTCTTTGCCTGTTGTAGGTACACATATTACTTACAAAGGTTCTTGTACACCATCAATACCATATGGTACTTAGCGACGGAATAGAGATTTTAAATTTGGAAATGGGTTGGATAGTTATTGAGAATCCATTCTATATTGATTGAGTCATTGAAATGTATAGTCTCATCTTCTGTCTGTCTACATCAAGAATGTTATACAACAGTATTTCTTTCTATAGTTTGTTCACTTCCTATAGCTAGCTGCGTAAATTAACCTGTATGTAGTTTTCTGCTATCCCCGTCAGCTATACAATTGATAGACCTGTCCTTTTCCCCATGTAGTCGGTCATTTGAACATATATATTGACACGTTTTTATACAAGGTTTTGTGCAAATGTTTTAGGTGTAAAGTCAGATTGAAATTAGGGGATCAGTTATGAAAACAGGACAAATATTGAAATTTGTTTGCCAAATGAACAAATACCGCATTGAGGAATGTGTTCTTCAATTTTGTTGTATTTGTTCAATGATATTTTTCTGAATGAAACATTTTCTGATGTAATAGAAGTTGGGTTCATGTTCAACAGGTTGAATTCATGAGAATATGGATTAACCGAGGGCAGCAGTGGGAACCCCATGTTGCAACATTCAGGAAACGAGGTCACCATTCGTTTGAATTCGACATAGTTAGAAATGTGACAGATGCGTTCCTGGGTTATGGTGATGGGTTTCCGGAGATTTAATAGCTGTCACCTTATACTAACAGACAACAAGGAACAATATGACGGCAAATGTTTATTTGATTTCAACTATGTCCATTCGTTTTTATGATAACCAATGTACAAAGGTTCCGAGTTACAGGACAAGTTTACACAAAATTAAACCGTTTTGTTCTGCACCTTTTCATCATAAAAAAGTGTTTGTCAAGTGGTTATAACCAAAACAGTACAGATATCAGAAAAAAACAACATTATCTTTTTGCGTTATATCGATTCATATTTTGCACATTTACCGCGAGTTACATTTCCATTAGAAACCACCATGACTTATGTCCAGGTCACATGATCAGCCAGATCGCATGATCAGCCAGGTCACATGATCAACAAGGTCACACATGATGAGCCAGGTCACGTATACATTTAATTCGCTTCTCGTAAGTCGACTATTACGACACGCTTTTGATGCATGCATGTGTTTGGAGACTTGACACTTTGAATATTGGTACGGGTTCCACGTTTTTCAGGAAACAGGTATGCCGAATCCTTTTCGATTTATCCCATGTCCTGTATAAAATACAAATCAAAGTATGAAATGTTTTATCAAGTATCAATTATTCCCTACATTCATGCATGAAGGTAACATTGCATGATGCATATTCCTATTGGTTGCATGTGTCCCGCTCAATACTCCGAACATTCTATTCCATGTACATGCATTTCAAGATGTTCTCAATCTTTGATTTTCGGAACCTACTCTTGAGTATAATATAATCTTTAAGAAACAAAAACAATTCTTGTTAAAATTTACTTTGTAACAGAACCAGCAGTCTGTGTAACGTCAACTGACTACACAACAACCACATACCAGGTTATCAGCATCTGAAACTGTCACTCTGAGAACCACGTCTCCAATTAGCCAGGTCTCCAGGATTGTCTCTTCATAGGTGACGGGGTTGAAGATGGGTGGGTTCAGGTTCCGGTTGATGGTGAGTTCAACAAGGGCAATGTCGTACAGTTTGGGACTGCCATTGTCCTCAACTCGATCATAAATCTGTAATGGTTTACATAGTTCATATATATAAGCCACTTTTATTTAGGAGACTGCGGAACATACATTTTCAAACAATAACTCTCGTCACTTGAAGATTATATATATATGCCTAAAACATGCAGGTTATTTGCAGATTGGATTCTGACTGAAACACAGTTACATGACAAATATTACATATGCTCGATTTACCCCAATACTGTATACATGTCTGAATCATAAATTGTAACTATGTATACATATACATACATACATACATATATTTATATATACATACATACACACACACACACACACACACACGTGACAAAAAGTCTGTTATAATATTTGATGTTATGACTTTTCTATTTGTAAATAATACTATAATGAAGAATTATGTATTTTGAGAAAATCCTTTTGACTTTGTAATTAAAGTGTGTTTGTACGCATACTTGGTTTGGTGGCTATATGCCTGAAACAATGCCGATGCGACGTAAAACATCAACTAAACTTAACCCAATATATATGTCAATAACCCTTGCTTCTTCATAGTATTCAAACTAACAAAAGAAATGTACTCTATAAGATCTTCACTGCTAATGTAATGTACGTATATATGATACCCTACTTATACTTTCCAACTCACCTGGATGTTTGATGAGTCGACTCTTTGACTCGGCCGCCATTACACATACTTATACCTCTAGGGGGCGTTATGGCCATGCTTTCCGTTGGTTGTGACATATCCTTGGCTCACATATACTCTTACCTGTGAAATTTTATTGACTTACCTGACACATCGATTCCATACCAGAAAAACGTATAATGAAATAAACTGAAAAAACCCAACTAGTATTAACACAATGATAGTGTCTCTCTATAAAGTAATGCTAGTATCTGTAAATTGAGAAAATACTTAGATCAGTAATTAACAACAAAACAATGATCTGTGAAACATTCAAACTGTGTCAAAAGCTATAATGGATTGTAATTCTGATATCAATCAACTGATATCTAAAAAAAATGATCAAGCACCGGATTTGTCCAGGAACGCTAGGATTAGTTTAAAAAACCCAGTGAAAATGTAAAAGACGCAGTAATCAGGATAGTTCAACATCACTAGGGTTAGGTAAAAGTACATAGTATATGTAAAAGAGAAAGACTTAGTAAATCAAGTGCTGAATTCGTTTAGGATCACAAGGGTAAGATAAAAGAAGTATATGTAAAAGAGAAAGTAAATGAACGCAGGATTTCTTCAGGATCTTTAGCGTCAAATGTAGAAATAAAACAGAAAGTGAATCAAGCCCATGATTCGTTCAGGGCCACTGGGGTTAGTGGAAAGCGCAGTGCCTCCTCCTTCATTGGTCCTTGTTTTCGATAGCATACGCATAATATCATTCCGCCAGTGCCAGAGAGTCAGTGTAATCACACACTAATGACTACACTGAGAGGTTATCATGGCACATCGCTTGTAAAATAAAACTGCTGTGAAAAGCATTGTAAATGGTAGTGCTGAAAATTGATGTTTTCCTGAAAATGAATGTATATTTGTTGTCCACATCATAATATAGTATTACGAACATGATTACCCTTCGAAATTTGATGTTGTACAAGATAAATACGAACGATACATGTATTAATGAACAAAATAATAAATATATAATCACAGACACACACTTCCATCCAACTCATTCATTGACATGTACCGGACCCGAGGAACTGTGAGGGACACATAGAATGGACTTAATGGATTCAAAGTTGCACTGCACATAGTAAAGGTTGATCCCTTATAGGAGAATATACAAACAACTAAAATTAATTTCATCGTCAATAGAAAGTAACATTAAAGCGTCTGTATAACAAAGTGTTCAGCTAGAATGCAAATATTCATAGGATACATTTTGCAATTTTGAGACTTTCAGCTTCATGGAAATCCGCCTTAGTCATATAAACCCATAGTAACACATTTAAACCAGAAAATATTGCGCATTGAAGTATTTAGTTATAGTGACTGTGTAAATTACATTGTAGAACATAAACCCGAATGCTTTTGCGTCGATTACCCCAGTACTCATATGATATACATCAAGTGATGTAAGTCTTACTGCTTCCACCCCAGTACGGTAGCAGAGGTTCCTGACAACAGAGGGATGCTCTGGGTGACATGGAATTTGTATCATTGGGTGACCGCAGCGTTGTATTTCTGTCCACGGTGATTTCAACTTTGGCAGGCGGATCAGCCCTTAGTCCACCTCCATCAACTGCGTCAACAATAATCTGGAGAAAATAAAGAATAAATATTGCCATAATACTGCAACCTATGCTTACTGTCTATAGTATGATGAGAAATTACTGAGAATTTTAGGAATATGTTTAATTGGATTTCTAGTATAAACAACCTTGACCAGCTATCAAGTGCTTGGTTTCATTCAAGAGGGACAACTCCGTCAATCCTTTTTCATTTGTTTGTGAAGGGTTATGTTCTGCTAATATTCACATTTAATACGTGAGTAATGAGTGAAAAAAAAAGATTTTACAATCTTTAAATTCTCAATAATTTCTGGTTGTACTGTATTTGCATATTAATTCTTAATCACAACATCCATCAGCAAGCCGATGGGCAAGGTATGTGTAAGGCAAGCAATGGTGGTGGTTCCTTTACAGGGACATATGTAGAGGTGATACAACTAGTGAATATCATTGGTGCCACAATGGCCAGGTATATTAAGAGAAGCGACAATCCCTTTTCCACATCCATTGGAAAAAGAGTCGATTGTCCATTTGTGACTATGCGTATATTTTTGTTTCAGCAGTATAACAGATATACGATGCTGACTGTAAAGAACTGGAGTCTGGACCAGACAATCCAGTGATTGTCACCATGCGACACGATGACATACACATGTAGCATGTGTTTATGAATCAGTATAAAATAGTGATGATACCAGGTGTTCGCGAAAAGGTGAGCCTATCCTGCCCAACCGGTGGCACCCGTCATAAATATATGCTAAGTCTAGTCAATTGTTCACCTGAAATTATTATTAATTATTATATAATTATGGTATAAGTCAAAATAGGGAATTGCATCGGACATCATTATTGTCACTAATGCATCAAATTTGGAAATGTCCTCCAAGTGTCTACCATTAGCTTTACTGAGGTCTTGAATGTTGTAACCTTGATCAACCAACTTCTGAGCAAGATCTGTATGATGCTCTTTGGCATCCTGATAAAAAGAGCACGCTCGATTGTACCTCAAAAGTTGTGAAATGTAAACTCCAAAGGCTGGAGTTGTTGGAATGTTGTTCGACATGAAAGGGATGTTGAAATCATTCCTTTTGTCACAAAACCTTGTGGAGAGTTTTTTGTCACTCTAAATCTTTATGCATAAATCTAAATATGAAACAGTTGTGGCGGTCTCACCTGTCTCCATAAGTTTAAGTTCAGGTGAATAGATCACTGGTAATTGGTTGATATCACAATAACGGATCTGAAGGATATGGTATGGATCTATTCTTCCACGGATTTGCATTGGGGGAAATGAAAACATGATCTCTTAACCTTACATTGTTACATTTGCAACATGATATTGATTTCTCACACCGATGTTTCCTCCGGCTTTCTTCATGTTGAAGGATTCAACTCACTGTGTAGACTCCAGTGTAGCTTGTGTCCGATTCCAGAAAGCACCTGAGGCTGACTGCGCCAGTGTTCCGGTCCACCATGAAGTACATCCGCCCAGGAACACTGGAAAGTAGGTTGTTGACCTCATACTGCACAGTGTTGTACGGGGCCTGGGTGCAGAAACAGATTTTAATGTCAATGACCTCATCGTACATATTTACATGCTGATGTAAACAGTTGTAGTTATGATGGCAACTACTTGTATCATCCGAAGTTGGTGAATTTGGGCTTCGTAGATACTCATTTAGCAACAAAGTCAAGGTCACAAACTGGCAGCAAAAAGATAGATATTGATAAGACATCATTGTGTCAAAGTGTGTACATACCACAGAATCTTGGTCAGTGGCTGAGATGCTCAGAACTGCCGTTCCTACTTCTGTAGTCTCATCAATCTCCGTAGTGAATAGCAACTGGCTGAAGGTTGGGGTGTTTAGGTTGCGATTGATGATGATCGACACCACAGTTGTGTTGGTCTTAGGTGGAACACCATTGTCGGAGGCAACAATTCTCAACTGTAAAAATACATGTTTCATGTAAACCACAAGCTAGAGGTATTTGTTTATTAGCATTTATCTTTCTCTCTCCAAAAATATTCCTTAAGTATACCAAAACTCCTTGATCAAATACAAAATATAACACAAAATTAGTATCCTAATAATTGGACTATTCAGATTTGGGTTATTGTACTAATTCATATCACGTTATCAAATGCACAAGTATTTTCAGCTAATATAACAAAATAAGACTTACATAGAACCTGGTGTCTGGAATACTTTGTAGTGACTGCCTCCTAATGATACTACCACCTGGTGTCACGTCGAAGTATGCAGGTGCAGTGCTGTCCCCAATAATTTCATAGCTCACACGGTTGAATGCATTCTGAAGGTAAAAATCATGTAATGCACTGAAATGTGTTGCTCTTGCACTTGAATTTATCTAAGCAATGCCTTTAATTATATCATTAACACATGCTTTATCTCAGTTACTGCTATTTCCAAAATTGCAGTTAATGTATACTTTATAGCTGTAATGATACACAGATTGGTGAAAATTAAACCCTTGTTCTGCTAATTTGCTACATTCCATTGTGATACAAGAGTTAGTTTGCACCGATATTTCAGTTAACGTTTATAACTTCCTTCAGTTACTGAATGTTTGGTAATACACAACAGTAAACATGCTTACAATGTCGTCATCAACTGCCAGGACATTGACAATGTTGACATTTGCACCAATAGTCTCATCAATAGTGGCACTGTAAGGGTCATTGACCCAGCGTGGAGTATTCAGGTTGCGGATGACATTGACAGTAATGGTGGCAGTGGAGGGAGCAGGCCTTGGTGGATCACCACCATCTGTGACTGCTACAATCAGCTGCAGAACAAATTAGAACAATTATTAATGTAATGGTTTACAAAGGTATATACAAACATCAACACGAAAAAAGGGACTGCTTTAACCAATGATCTCTGTACTTACTCTGTACTGGCGAGTCTGGAGGGTGTCCTGAAGAAGAGAGGACTTGAGACGGATCTCACCACTGTCACGATTTATCAGGAAGTAGGTTGATGCAGTATTTTCTCCAATGATGGAGAAGCGCAGTGACCTGTATGGATCCTGTACAGAACAAACAGTGAAATATCTCCATCTAAACATATGTTAAACAAACAGATAGATCTTTCATTTCCTAAAAAAAACTTTACAACTAGGTTCGTTCAATGTACCTTCCTCATAAATCTTGATGAATACAGAACTCCATTACAACACATTTGGAAGACAGGTCTGAGACCATTCTAGTGTATCTAAATGCTAGTATTGTCCTATACCAACACATAACTATATTATATATATACTTGTCCAATGGTATTTGTTGTCCAAACTCACAAAAGTTCTATTGAAGATATTTGCGATACAGAGGATGTGGGGATAACAGGCTGTTATTCTGGTCCATTTCGAGTTCGAGTCCCGGAGCATTCCTCTCACATGAACTTTGATACTTAAAACTGAACCTTTGACATTTCTCGTAAACACGACCACATTCATGAAACACGTTGTGCACATGCATTACCTGCACCCAGGCCCTGTTAAAGCACAAGGAATTGTGGAACTCAATCACTTTGAGAAAATGTCACACTTGACACAAGACGAAAGGAATCAGGTTATCGGTATGGTCAGCCAAGGTGCTTCAGATGTGATGATTGCCAGGCACTTTAATGTGCATCCATCCACTGTAAGTCGACTCAGACAACGTTTTCGGGCTACCGGAAGTGTTGCTGATCGTCCGCGACCTGGTGCACCACCTGTGATAACGGCTCGACAAAACCGCAATATCCGAGTTTCACACTTGCGAAATCGGTTCCAAACAGCTGATGATGAGGCAAAGGAAGACAATTGGGACAAGTCAACGTCATTTCAGTGCCCAAAAGGTGCAAGGACGCCTTGTTGCCTTAAGCATCCGGTGTCGGCACCCTTACCGTGGTCCAACCTTATTGCATCGCCACAGACTTGCCAGACAGCGGTGGGCAGTAAATGGGGCCAATCTTGGCAACAGGACACGGCCAGATGACTGACTTGTCAGATGAATCCAGGTTTAACTTATCCTTTGCAGACAGACGTCCACATGAAATGATATATTTTATAATGGCTTACAGTATATATATATATATGAATATATATATGAAGTCAAAAACAAACATTCCACAGGATTATATGAACTTGAGGTCCATGCTTTGTCTATAACAAACAACAAAAAACAAAAACAGGAATGGAAATGTGACTCTAAAGCAGTCCTGTGTCTATCAGGTTGACATTATATATCTAAATGATCATCCTTTTACAATCACACTTGTAAGGTTCTTACCGATAAATCTGCATCAAAGGCATCCACATCATAGATAAGGTAATCAAAGCCAATAGTTTCCAGTACTGTGGTGGAATTTTCAAAGTTTGGTCCTGAAGGATTTGTTAAGAACGGTGCATTGAGGTTACGATCAACTCCCACAGTAAATGTGTTGTAGGTCACACGCCTTGGGTTTCCTCCATCTTGTGCGAAAACTGTTACCTGAAAAAAGAAGAGACAATCGTATATAATCAAATCATAAACATACAAAGAAGTAATAAAAAAGTGAATGGAAAACTGGGAAAACATCTCAACACAATCTTGAAATAAGACATTTCTTACCCCATATTGAGCCTGAGAATCCGAGGCAATAGCTTGTGTGAGAGTTATCTCCCCTGTTGTTGGGTTGATTCGGAATCTGTCGATGGTCATGCTGGCAATACCATATGTGACTTCATTGTAGGGACTCTGAAACATTTACAAGATGAAATATATAACAGATAAACATGAAAATAAGCCAAATATTTACACACAAACAATAAGGAAATTAAATCAATGCTTGAAAAAGGAATGTACCCTTGTGTCTGCATCAGTAGCAGTTACAGTGACAACTGGGGTGTTGGCTCCTGCTGTTCGCAACACAGTGGTGTCGTAAGGGGTCTGTACAAACACAGGGGAGGCCTGGTTCCTCACAACGTTGATAGTGACAGATGCAGGCTGGGCTGATGACAGAGGGCTGGCACCTCTATCTGTAGCTTGGACTGTCAGCTGAAGAACATACAGGCTGATTAGACAAACAGTAATTTGTTTACAATCACTCTGAATATTATAACAAGGTCATTGCATGAAAATCACTCTGCTCAAATGTTGAATTAAACAATATGTCTTTTTTGTGTGTTTGATTTATAACCATCACCATATGATTTTAAATTCCCTATAATCAGAAACATTAAATGATTGGGTTGAACACTTGTAGCTATAACCAAATGTTAGAACCAGTTCAATACTAATCAAAGATCAACTTGTACACAGGTGATGTAATGGGATACCTCTAGATGTAACCAATGTTTAAATGTTATATCAAACTTTAAAATGCATATAATAAAGAAAGACAAATTACATTCTTTGATCAGATTCCTCTTTTCCCAAACAGTGCACGTGGATACATAAATAACTAACTCAATATAAAAAAACATGTCTCTTTCCAGTTACAAAGATCTATGAGTGTCAGAAATGTGAACAGATCTATTACATGGTCTCTGACAACAGACAGAAGAGGAGATGCTAAGTCATTACAACAATTTCATAGAACAACATAGACATTCTATCACAACAGTAGTTCTTGGAGAGAGCTAAGTCACCTGATATCTTGTGTTGGAATCTTGGACAAGGTTATTGACCACTGTCACTTCTCCTGTCTGGCTATTAACATTGAAAAACGTCAGGCCAGATCCAAAGGCAGAGTATGTAATCTCATTGTTGGGGCTCTGAAAGAGAATGATTGTGCCACATCAAGAATGATAAAAAAACCCAAAAACAACAAAACTCTTTTACCTGGAATACAGACAATGTTATTCTTAAACTATAATCATATTAAACATATGTTTACCAACACACAAAAGGACTAAAGAATGTATTTATTGTCAGAAAACGTCACTTTGTTAACGGGTCATATTTCAACAAGAGAATAAGTCTGTCTATTTTCACTAATAAACCAGTTTTTAATGGACTATACTTTGTGAAAAACAAGTGATTGAGAGTCTGCAAAGACTAAAGAAAATAAGTAATTTTTTAATAGATGACATTTCATTTAACAACAACTGCTTACCAGGTTATCAGCATCTGAAGCTGTCACTCTGAGAACCACGTCTCCAATTGGCCTGGTCTCCAGAATGGTCTCTTCATAGGTGACGGGGTTGAAGATGGGTGGGTTCAGGTTCCGGTTGATGGTGAGTTCAACAAGGGCAATGTCGTACAGTTTGGGACTGCCATTGTCCTCAGCTCGAACATAAATCTGTAAGGTTGCACATCATAATACAGTCAGTCAAAATAATGCAAATATGTGAAATGCATAATACCTCTTGAAATTAAAATGAGTAAATTTTTATAGTGTTCAAAATAAGGATACTCCAACAGATCTGAACTATGTCTTGAAACATAAGCACACATCCTGCAGCTGCAACTCATCCAGCACACAGTTTCATAGAGACAATTGGAGATGGAGCCTTATATGTAAGCGATTATCCCAATAATCTAAAGATTCTAAAGAACTCCACATCTGCAAACTGTGAATGGAATCTGATGCCTGTATGATTTATTCCATGTCTTCATGTAAATGGATACAAGGTTAACAAATACCTTATAATTTGTCTCTGAGGCACTGTTGATAGCAGCAGGGTTTGTTGGTTGGATATTTCCTGACCCATCAATTGTAAACAGAGCCAGAGCATTTGCTGGACCCTCGATGGAATATGAGATCTGGTTGAATTCCGTCTGTGAAGGAAACACAGCATATGTATGACAGGGTAAACCTCTTTTGACAGAACTCACATAGAAGAAAACATTATGTGACTTGCAGAAGTGATATAGAAGTATTTCATGTTAATTCTTTTCTTCTATCTTTAATATCTTTATTTGTATTTGTTTCAATACAGTTTTGTCTCATGGATATAATTTAAGAAGCTAAACACAGTCAGTTATCTCAGAATTATAATGAAATTAATATAATGAAATTAATCAATGATGTTATTAAAACGGTTCATCACAACCTATCCTAGTTGTCAAAGGATAAGTCTTTGCTCATCATAGCAATGCAAAAACAGCTATTTAGTGATCAAAAGAATCAAGGCTTTTTATAGTATAAGTAGTTGCCAATAATCACAGATTTCACCTACCAAAAGGTCATCATCAACTGCCCTGACAGAGATGACCGTGGCACTGGACAGGCCCTGAGATACTGTAATGGAGTAGGAATCCTGGATGAACCGAGGGGCGTTGTTGTTTCTGAACACTGCTATTGTCACAGAGGCATTGAATGCAGCAGTGAGAGGAGGGCTGCCTTTATCTCGAGCGATCACAACAAACTGAAACAAACAAGTTCAGACTCTTCAAAAACCTATGCAATATAGGTATGTTGGCATATAGCTCTCTGATCCCACTTAATTGTTGCAAGATTAATGGTAAGGAATTAACTCAAAACAAAAGCAGGTTAAGATGAGTAAGAGTATCAATCGTTTTTTTCTGTCAAACAACTAACCAAAAAAAATACTCTTCTGTCTGGATTCAAAGTAAGTGGACGCCTCGGGCGGATATCACCAGTGAAACTGTCAATCTCAAAGTAATAGAGCTGTGCAGCATCTCCTACAAGTTCATACGTCACTTCATTGTTGGGGGGCTGAAATGTAAAGTGTGGTGTTGTAATGATGCTCAACACTAAATGATACAATGTTTCAACTGTTAACACATTCGTGAAACGTGAGATTTGGATGTTTTCAAGGGAGGTAATCAATACCTGGGCATCTCTATCTGTGGCTGTGACACGCAGGATATTCTGAAGCACTGGGACTGTCTCTGGGATGTTGGTAGTATACGTTGCAGAACTCCATACTGGGCGTTCAAAATTTCTTGTTATCTTTAAGTACAACAATCCTGTGGAACTCCAAGGAGGAGAGCTTCCATCTTGTGCCACAATACGAATCTGAAATCAGTTAAAGCACAATGAGACTACAGCAAATATTAACTCGTGTTTATATAAAAACCTATTATTTCAGCTATTTTCTTTCTTTAAAACACCAAGCACAACAAAAAAACAGTCAGTGAAGTTATACATAATCTTGACCTGCAATGCAAACCTGGATACTGGAACACAAATTATAAAGGAAGGTCTTTCTTTCTGTCGTTCTTTATGTTCTTTGAAACCCTGTTAACATGAGTGAGTTTAGTTTTATGCCGCACTCAGCAATATTCCAGGCACCCATGAAAGGCCACCTCCTCGTGGTGGGTGCTGGGTCACGCTAAGCGCCTTTCAACCCCCCGTTGTGGACCCGGGGGGATATTAGGTCCACCAACCCGTTTGCCGTGGGTTGCGCCCCTGTGTCGGTGGAGGACGGGATTCTGGTGGTTGAGGGCATTGGTTCCAGGATTAGCGTTCCTTTGCCCAACACACCACTTCGCCCCTTACTTCACCTAGACGGGTGGTAGAACTGGCCCGGTTCTATCAATCGGCTGGTCACGCCAAGCCCTGTGTATAGACTATATCTATATATGTCATTGCACAAATTACATTTGGAATTGTTTTAATTTCGGGCTTACTTGTTTATCTAAAACGTTTGTGATTTTGAATTATTATGTTATGAACTTTGCCTAGAGTCTTATGCCCAGAAGGCGGTGGCTCATGGGCCAATCTGGTGGAACTATTAATCTTTTAATTCTTCTGCTGGAGTATATCATCCGGGTATCCTTGGTGCTGCAAGTTGGAAATCCACTTGGTTTTAGCATTGTCCTTGTGATACTCCGTGGTGGGTGGGGAGCTCGGATGATGAATTCTAAAAACTAAACATGGCTTATGAAACCCCATAAAAGACCAAGCGTACACTTGACACTGATCCTGTTGAGACTGACCATAGACTGCCCAACTCACTTGATTATTGGCCACGTTTTCTTCTACTTGAAACTGTTGACTTGACACCATTGAAATTGAATCCTTTTGCCGTCTCGAAGGGTATACAAGGTATTGCCGGTGATGTTAAGAACATTAAGCGGTTACGTTCTGGTGCTCTACTTGTTGAGTGTGCGAAAAGACATCAAGCCACGAACCTTCTGAGCACGAAAACCTTTGTCGGTATTCCGGTCACGGTCACTGCTCACAAAACACTCAACACGAGCAAAGGCATTGTCAGAGATCGTGACAGATTGTTTGCTGACATGTCAGAACTTGACATAGTGTCTGAAATGAAGGACCAAGGCGTGCTTTATGTCAAACGTTTTACAACTCGGAAAAACAATGAAACTTTCAAAACTAATACATATCTGTTTTCCTTTTCATGACCAAATGCTCCCAAATCACTGAAGGCAGGTTATTGTAACGTCCAAGTTGACACCTACATCCCTAACCCGCTCAGGTGTTTTAAATGCCAGAAATATGGACATGGTGTAAATATTTCAGATTTGTCTGTTGTGTGTGCTCACTGTGGTGAGAAGACACACACAACAGAAGATTGTACCAGTGATTTTAAAAAATGCACCAACTGCTCAGGCGAACATTCCTCCTTCTCCAAAGATTGTCCTATTTGGAAAGAACAAATGCAAATTAACAAGATCAAATTTACCCAAAACATTAGCTTTTCCGAAGCCAAAAAACTTGTAAAGAGTTCTGACCTTAAGGAAACATATGCTTCAGTAACCGCAACACCATCTGAGTCAAGCTCTTAAAGTGCCCAAATTGTCCACAAGCTGTCAAACAAATTTGACTTGGGTCAAAAGCGATTCTCCAGAGCTCTTGTACCCTGCAATGTCTTCTCAAACTACAGACTCACTTCCTGTTATGTCTGAAAAGCAGTCAGCGTCATCTTCTGGTAAACAGTCTCAGTCGAGTTCAAAGTCTCAATCGTCATCTACTGGTCAACAAACTGGTAAAGCCAAAATAAACCTAAACCTGATTCCTCAAAAGCACAAAGTGGAAGACCCCCCAAAGGGTCAGAAAACAGAATACAGTTGTACAACAAATATGGATCTCTTGATGATATGGACATGACTGAAGCCGTCCATACTAGGGCACACAGCTTGTCGCCCACCAAACAAGTGCGGGGTAGATCCCCCATAAATCCCCCCAAGAGATAGGTTATCAGAATAATATCATACAGTGGAATTGCAGAGGACTAAAGACCAACTTCAGTGAATTGCAGCTATTAGTCCAAGATTATACACCATCAGCAATCTGTCTGCAGGAGACATATTTAAAACAGACGGACACTTTTGACTTACGCCATTTCAATGCGTATCATTATTTTTCACCTCCGGGTGACAGGGCCACTGGCGGATCTTCCATCCTCACCAGGCAGAATATTATCCATAGCCCTGTTTCACTTACTACTGGTCTACAGGCTGTTGCCGTTCGACTCACTTTTCAGGTTACGCTCACATTATGCTCTTTGTATATCTCACCGTCTTCAGCTCTTCAGAAGAGTGAACTTCAAAATCTATATGACCAACTCCCACAACCCTGTATTATTATGGGAGATTTAAATGGCCACAACCCACTCTGGGGTGGTACAAATACTAATGCTAAAGGTAAACTATTGGAAGAGTTCTGTTCAGATAATGATTTATGCATATATAATGACGGTTCCAACACCTATTTACATCCTGGCACGGAACTTATTCAGCTCTAGATCTATCAATTACAGACCCAGACCTATTGAATGAATTTGAATGGTCAGTCCACAGTGATCTTTGTGGAAGTGACCATTTCCCAACAATATTAAAGCCTGTGAACCCATCTGATAATACCCCATCATCTAGATGGAACTTTAGAAAAGCTAACTGGAATTTATATCAAACTCTCTGTTGTAACAGACTTCAACCTGCACTGTTTATAGATGTTCCTGATGCAATAAAATATTTCTCTGATGAACTCAATAAAGTAGCTGATGAGTGTATACCCAAATCCTCTGCAATTCCACACATCCGAAAACCATGGTTTAACGCTGAATGCAAACAGGCTAGGACGGCACGGAAGAAAGCTGAGAATTATTTCCGTCGCCATCCTATGGTCCATAATTTGAATAAATTTAAATGTTAAATGCTAAGGCACGGCGTACCTTCAAACAAAATAAACGTCAATCCTGGCGAAATTATGTATCAAAAATAAATTCACGAACGCCGATATCAAAAGTATGGAATATGATCCAGAAAATAAAAGGTAAGGGTTCTAAATCTAGCATTAAGCATCTTAAAGATGGAGACGAATTATTAACTAGTAAATCTGATATTGCAAATAAACTTGGAGAAACTTTGGCCAAACACTCTTCCTCATCGAATTATGTACCTCAATTCCAAAATTATAAAAATCAACAGGAAAAGAAACCTGTTAATTTCAATTCAGATAATAGGGGAGAATACAATGAACTATTTTCTATTCATGAGCTTCGTACTGCTCTTGACCAGGCTCATGATACTGCTGCAGGGGCTGATAAGATACATTATCAGCTTCTAAAACACCTACCAGAATCATGTTTAGAGACCCTCTTAACCATTTTTGATATTATTTGGACATCTGGAAAATTTCCTGCTTCTTGGCGGGATGCTATTATTGTTCCTGTCCCTAAACCGGGACGTGACCATACTGATCCTTCGAATTATCGACCGATTTCACTAACAAGCTGTGTTTGCAAGACCATGGAACGCATGATAAATAATCGACTTGTTTGGTACTTGGAAACCAATAACCTTATAACAGATATCCAGTGTGGTTTCCGTAAAAATAGAAGTACGATCGATCATTTAGTGCGTTTAGAATCCTTTGTTAAAAATGCCATTATTAAAAAACAACATGCAGTGTCGATCTTTTTCGATTTAGAAAAAGCATATGACACTACTTGGAAACATGGGATTTTAAGAGATTTACACGATTTTGGATTGAGAGGCCGTTTGCCTCAATTTATATCCAAGTTTTTAGCTGACAGGCAATTTCAAGTCCGCGTGGGCTCTACCCTGTCTGACCATTATAATCAGGATCAGGGTGTCCCACAAGGCAGTATTTTGTCTGTCACACTTTTTAGCATCAAGATCAACAGTTTATCCAAGGTTTTAAATGATTCAATAGATGGATCACTTTTTGTGGATGATTTTAATATTTCTTGTCGTGGTAAGAATATGCATACTATTGAACGGCAACTGCAATTGTGTTTAAACAAAATAAATAAATGGTGTCTTGAAAACGGCTTTAAATTTTCTAAATCAAAAACTAATTGTATACACTTCTGTCGAAAATATAAGCCACATAAGGACCCAGAACTAACTTTAAATGGCACTCCCATCAAGGTTGTAAAGGAGGCCAAGTTCTTAGGTCTCATTTTCGACTCCC